TTATATAAATGTACATATGCAGGATATGTATACTTGGGAAATGGCATCATCCCCACTCTCAGAGTTTGCCTTCTTCTTGGGAATGGGGCAAATATCGATATTGATAAAGATTATAGATGTAGAAGTTACAATGAAAGTATCAGGTACAGCAGAGGAAGAAAAATCATGGAAAAGATGCCCAGTAATTCACAGGATCTAAAAATATAAGAAATGACCTGACACTAAACCCCATTTTCAGATGTTTAATAATCATAACGAGCACAGACTTAGTGCCAGACATGGGGCTGGAATCTGGGGATATAAACACAAAAAGAGACAGTCCCCAGCCCTCAAGGAGCTTCCATCCTACACCTCTCCCCAGATGTTCAGTTTGTAGAGAACAAATGAGCAGAATTAGAGACTCAAAGGCAGAGATGCAGATTTTACTTTATAGGTGTCAGTGAGACTTGATGGGATAGGACCATGACTGGAAGAGGCCTTTTGAAACTTAGATCTTTTTTGAAAGGAACAGAACAGACATAAGGGGTATGGGCAATGTTGTTGATTAATAATATGGACAGGGACCAGAGGTGAAGCATGGAGGTAAGCATCTGTGGCAAAACTGATGGAGGGAGAAAATAGAAGCAATATTGCTCTGGAAATACTACAGACTACCTGGGCGCAAAAGGGACATGGATATGTGTGGGGAACAGATTACAAGCCTGGCAGGGAGTCATAAAATAATGGTAATAGGGGTCTTCAGTTTTCTGGATCTGTATCTCAGTCTCTGTCGGCCTCTCTGTCTCTCTCATTCTCTGCCTCTGTCTCTCTCTCTATGTCTGCTTCTCTCTGCCTGTCTGTCACTCTGCCTCTGTCTTTCATAGTCTCTATCTTATTCTGTGTGTGTGTCTTTCTGTCTGTCTGTCTCTGTCTTTCTTCTCCCTATCTCTCTCTGTGTCTATCTCTATCTCTCTGTTTCTGTCTCTGTCTCTGTTTTTGTCTGTCTCATCTCTGTGTGTGTGTGTGTGTGTGTGTGTCTCTCTCTCTGTCTCAGTGAGGTGTTACCTCAACCCCACAATGAACCATCAGAGTAGGGCTGATTAATAATGTGAAAATCAAAACACAAAATGAAACAAGAGTTTGGAGGAATAAAAAAGCTGTGTGTTGGAGGCATGCTGGCTCTTATTAATGGAACCACATTTTTTTTACTTTGTGTATACAGTACCACATACAAAACCCCAGCCACTTAATGGTGTCCTCAGGGTCTGATAGAGTGAATGTGATTCCCTGAGTGCTAAGCAGAATCTGGTTCACTGTTTCAATTGGGTATCATTTACTACATAAACACTAATTGTGCTAGAGGTGGAGAAAGGAAAAATAAACCTGGAGTATCTTAGAATGTTCATTGATAATTACAGCCCAGTTTTCTTAAAATTATATAGCCAAAACCATGGACCTTACCCAAGCACGCCTCACCCGTGCTGGTAAGCTCACAGCTGCACTGGGGGATGAGCAAGTCCGATGGGAAGAAAGCATCCAGAACTTTGAAAGTGAGATCTCCAACGTCAGTGGGAATGTGTTCATCGCTGCTGCGTGCGTGGCATACTATGGAGCTTTCACAGCCCATTACAGACAGCTGGTAAGTGAAGAAGCATGGGGAGCCATGGGAGTGAATGAGTCTTTTGTTTTTTCCTAGGTTTTCCCAGGTCTTCCCTTAATAAAGAAAGAGATGATCCACCTGCTCCAAAAGCCTCTTCTTTCCCACAAGGCCCAGGTCCCTCTCCCCCAACCCCACACCATCACTGTCCTTAACACATAGCTGCCTGGGCCCTTCTTGTCTTTCCTTCTGCAACCTCACAAAGTCACTGTTTGTTTCTTTCTGCATTGAGCTCCTTTTGCCTTTTGCAAGGCCCCAGGACTCAGGGGGTGGGGAACTTGCAGCCTCGAGGCCACATGTGGCCCTCTATGGCCTCAAGTGCAGCTGTTTGACTGAATAAATCCTTAATAAAAGGATTGGACTCAGTCAAAAGAACCTAGAAGGCCACATGTGGCCTCCAGGCTGCAGGATCCACACCCCTGTGGCCCAAGTCTTTCACCAGCACCATTTTGTGCCTTCACATTGCCTCACCAGGCAGGGTCTGCCAGTTCTCCTGTGATCACCTGGGAAGCCTCTAACACTTGGAAAGAGGTATTGTCCTCCTGAGACACTAAAGAGCAGGCCGTGAAGCAGAGAGCCAGTCCCCCAACCATGTCCCAGTACCAGCCACCTGGCTCTCCATCTAGTTCTGCTACCCTCACCTTCCTTCATTCTTAGGAACCTTGGCCCCCATGTCCTGGAGCCAAGCAGCAGGGCAGCCAATGCAACCTAAAGCACAGAGGAATTACTCTGAGGTGGCAAGCATCTTGGTAGGGTTGGGCAAGGGGAGGAAGGAGGAGGGCATGGCAGGAATGGGGAGTTCTCTGGATGCCCCTCAGCAAACCTCAGTTTCTACTCTTTCCTGACCATAAAAAGTCTATTCAATAGGGAGGAAAGAGTATTAGATTTAGAGGCAAAAGGTGGAAATTCAAATCCTGACTCTGACTAGTTGTGTGACCAGAAGCAAGGCATAATGGCAACTAGGTGATATGATAGAGTACTGGCCCAGGAGTCAGGAAGACCTGAGGGCAAACCCTGTCTTAGCTACTTCTAGCTTGTACTACTCCACTGGGGATAGGGCACCTCACTCCATCCCGCTTTCTCCTCTGGTTCCTAACTGGGCCTGAGCAGCCCCTCCCCCGGGATAAGGGGCGGTGACAGGTTCTGGAACCTTCAAACACTGTGCGGAATTGTCATTGAGACCTTCGCTTTCCTTCAGCACTTAGAGGAGTTCTCAGCGACCCCTTCCCAAATACCTCCTCCCTCTTCTTTGCTGTGTTTCAGCCTCCTGGGGCAAGGGGTCGGGGGTAGGAGGGAGTGATTAGTGAACCGGCTCCAGCTGCGAGCCCCTGACCTGCCCGGGAGCAAGATGAGCGCAGACTGGTACTCCGGGAGCCCCCTGCCCCGGCTCTGTAACCTGGAGAAGGGGCCGAATGGCTAGGGCAAGAAGTACACAGTGGGACAGTTTATCAGGCTCATGGAGCCAGGCTCGCAGACCGAAAAGGCGGGACTGCTGGCCGGTGACCAAGGGCGACAACGTGGAGCAGGAGAGTCACAGCAGGTGGTGAGCCGCATCCGAGCCGCGCTCAACCCCGTGCACCTGAGGTGGTCCGCCCGGAGGCCGTCGAGCGCCTGCAGAAGCGAGGCATCCAGGCTTGGCCAGGCCGGGTTGGGCGTCCAGCCGAGCCCACCCCGCAGAGGGCCGAGCCCACCCGCAGAGGGCCGTGCCTACCCGTAGAGGGCTACGGGGGAGCAGATGGATGAAAGCGAGAAGCAGCAGCCAGGAGCGGCCAAGGAGCCGCAGGAAGAGAAGAGCCAACAGAGGGGATCTGAGACCCCGACTTTGTGCTGTGAGAAAGGGTCCCAATGGCTATGGCTTCGACAAACTGCAGAGTGACAAGTCGAAACCTGGCCAGTACATCCGCTCTGTGGACACCAAGTCACTAGCTGAGGCTTCAGGGATCCAGGCCCAGGAACGGATGGTGATGAATGGGATCTGTACGGAAGGGAAACAGCATGGGGGATGTGGTCGACGCAATCAAGGCTGGCGGAGATGAGGCCAAGCTACTGGCTGTGTACATGGAGGCAGTGTAAAGTGATACCATCCCAGGAGCACCTGAGTGCTCCCCTGCCAGAGCCTATTGCCAATGGAAAGGTAGAGGAGGGGAGCAGCGCCACCTAAATTGAAGCGGTGTGAGAGCCCCAAACCAGCCTCAAGAGATGCACTTAGTGAAACCAGTGTTGAGACAGATTCTTAGAACAGTCCCAAGAAACAAGATTCCACTCCACCCTCTTCTACGTCTTCCTCCTCTGAGCCCATTTTAGACTTCAACATATCCCTGGTAGTGGACTGGAGGAAAAAGGGAAAAAAAAAAAACGAACTCGTCAGCAATCTCTGAGCAATGTCCTCCTTTCTCCCTTCCCACCAAACAACCCTGGAGAGTGGGGAGGAGTTTGGAGGAGGGGAATGAGTTTTGCCCTTTGGGCTTCCTTTCCTTTCCTCTTCTCCACTGACCCCAAATCAAAGTCACAAATCAGCACCAGTATCTGATTTTCCCAGACACCCATGTTCTTCCTAAAGCCCAGGGAGTATGTTTTCCTGTTCTGTCCTAAAGAGAAGACACACCTTTACCCAAATCCTTTCTTCTTAGGGCCCTAAGGAGGATCTACTTCTTGACTACATTCTCCCCACCCCCTGCCAGCTGGAGGACTGTGAGACGATTTAATAAAGCAGATTTTTTTTTCAGTTCATTTTTTCATGCCATCCTAATATAACATGTCCAGAGCCTGGGAATGGCTGAATGAGAAGTCTTAAGGGTAGAAACTACAGCTCAGGGATGGACAGGGTCTTCTCCCTAAAAGCTACAAATCGGTGTGTTTGGAAGGTTTGGGGAGGGGAAAGTTTGTTTTCGTGTCATACATATGTTAAGAAAGTTGGGATTTTTGTGCTATAATTAACATGATTTTTTTTTTGGCAAGGCGATCAGGGTTAAGTGACTTGGTCAGAGTCACACAGCTAGTTAAGTGTCAAGTGTCTGGGGCCCGATTTGAATTCAGGTCCTCCTGACTCTAGGGCTAGTGCCCTTTCCACTGTGCCACCTAGCTGCCCCATTTTTTTTTTTACTTTTGAAAAATTTATTGACAAGACAGTATTGAAACATAATTAGGGAGTTAGGAAAGAAATTATGCAGTGGCTTCAATTGTTGCATATTTTGCCACTGCCGTGAACAGTACAATTTAAAATGATAAATATAAATTTCATATTCGAGCCTTTGGCCAAAAAAATCATTTAGCACATTTGTTAAAGTATGACAAAAATTAGAAAATGAACATTTAAAAGATCGTGTCACTAAATTAAACAGCAAAATAAAAAATCACTAATAACCTAGGATTCCATTATGCTGTTGTTGAGATATCTGGACCGAACTTGTCATTCATTATGGCAATGGAAAGAGACCAGGACTCAGAACTCCATCAATCGATGACACAAAGCCTTGTGGTAAGAGGAGCTGAGGCTGGTCAGTCGTCTAGCGCGTCAAGAAGGCAGCAGCAGCAGAGAGCAGTCCAGCAAGCTGTGAGGCAGTTAGACTGGAGCGCGTTAGACTTTCTTTGTTCTTCCACCACATACACCCTGGTGGGTCCATGAGCGGTTGCGCCCTGCCAGCCATATTGTGGATAGCCTTGGTGTGGATACCCTGCATTAGGGGGTGGATATGGCCCTGGAGGCCCAGCAGGATAAGACCCAGCAGAAGGATATGTTTGAGAACCACCTGGTTGCTGTAGATGTGGTGGATATGGGGCAGTTGGGCTTGAGGCCGAGTAGGGTGGAGGATTTCCGTAATTCATGTGGGAGTGAAAGCCTTTCCTCCGGCGGAGCGGGGGCCACTCGGTGCCTTCCTCACTTGGACGCGGGACGTGAGACTGAAGAATGAACTTGAGCGCTGGCAGCGCCCGCGCCTCCAACGCTGAATCCACCGGGAGCTGACGTCAGTCGGTGTATTACCGCATAATACAGGTGAGGATTTGAACTCAGGTCCTCCTGACTCAGGGCCGGTGCTCTCTATCCACTGCACTACCTAGCTGCTTTCCCCCACCTTTTTTTTTTATCTTTTTAATTAACAGTTTATTTAAACACATTCTCAAAACAGTTGAGTGAATCAGGCCTCCTTTGGTAAGCAAAAGGGATCTCAGAATAGTTTTTGAAATTTAACAGGCGAAGTCTTCAGTTCACTCATCAAACTGCTGAAGTGTTTCTTTCTCCCATCCTTTATGAGGCACCCATTTTTATTTGTAATCTAAAGCCAGAAAATCAAGATTACGTTTGTGATGGAAGGTCCCGTTATTCATTGACAGCTGAAGCTCAACCTCACCACCTCCAGAACAGCCCTGTGAGGAAGGCGGGTCTTCCTCAAGGCCTCCGTTAGACTGGAACTATTGTCCTCCCTTGCTATTTGCACAGCTTATATAAAGGCTTCACAAACAACATTCAGACAAGCAGTAGCCAACTGCTGGATAGAAATACCGTTAGTTCTAATACTAGTAATACAGAGTTACACAATATTATAATTGTGACACTCAGTTGTAGATACATTAAATACGGTGCTCTCTAAATGGCAAGGCATGTGACTTTACTTTCCACAGACTAATTTGAAAATTCAGTTTTCCTAAGCACTGATGTGGTGAAAAGAAAAGTAGAAATTAAACTGTTTATTGTTGGTTTACCATTTGGAGGCATTTCACACAAAACGGCAAATCTTCAGGTTGCCCTGGATTCAGTAGAAAAACCTTTATAAATAAAGTTTTTCTACAATAGAAACTTCTCAGCAGTCAAAATTTAGACTGTAAAAAATACACAAAACATACTTCTCTGAAAACACTTAACTTTGAACAGAGCACCAGACTACACAAATGCAGAAAGAAAAGAGCATTTCAACTCCACCAAAAGTGATCTTCATAAAAGGTGTAAATGTTACCTATTCACTAGGCCCTGTTCACTTTTAAACAGGAGACAATAAAAAAAATTGTCCACAAAACAAAATCCCATTTCAGAAATCCACCATCTTCATGCTTTCACAGTGGTTAGGTGAATAAGATGGAGATGGAGACTGTGACCTGTAACCCCCAGGACTGTAATATGAGGATGGTGATCGCCTCCTGTAAATCTGATCCCTGCCTTGGGCAGCTCTCCACCCTCTCCTTCACCACCCCTTCTTCGGTAAGATCTGCTTTAATAGTTAGGATCACCAAAGCCTTGATCATAGTAATCACTGCAAGGACTGCCATAAGGAGTCTTCCCATGTAGATCCCAAGGGTTGGGACGTGGGGTCTTTTTTGTTATAGAAAAGTCCACTCGGATCCTCGCCCTTCCAGCTCCATTCCATTGGCACGCTCTTTGGCTTCCTTGGAGTCATCCATATTCCCGAAGTAGACAAAGGCAAACCCCCAGGAACGCCAGGACTACTGCTCATCTACGATACATACATCCGCAATCAAGCCGTATTCGGAAAATACTTCTCTGAGATCTCTGCGTACAGACTCAATCCAAACACCCTGATTCCCCGCGTGATGCCTACGGGTAGACATAGAAGAGTGACTCTGGCTATGCTGCGTTCGGTCGTCTCAACTGTATGACCTGCTCCGGGATCATCTGTGGGAGGGGGAGCAAGAATTTGATCTATTATAATGCCTTCGAGAACTTCTTCTGGATCTCAATCGAGACTCCGACTTGGACCTAGACTTGGATCTGGAGCTCAGGAAACCTTCCTCGGAAACGTAGACCTACAAGGGTGTGCCTCGCGGATTTCCCAGATTCATGGACACTCCTACTTTTGGAAGCAGAATGGCATTCTCACTTACTGCTTCAGCTAGTGTTGCCCCCCGCGATGCCTTGCTGCCCTGTCCCGCCTCCCAATCCGCTTCTGCGTCCTGCTCTGCCCCACACCATTCCTTTTTTAAACATGGTGAAGTTTGCTAGTTTTTATAATCAGGAGAATCTTATAAATCAGTAACCTCATATTACCTTTTTGAGCACATCCATTACACACGAAACTTTATTTAAAAATGAAACAATGCTAGCAAAGAATAGAGTCATAAGACAGGTATTTGAACATGGTAATGCAAGTGGAATACTAGCAAGTCAAGTAACTTCTCTGTGCCTCAGTTTCCTCCTCTATAAAATGGGGCTAATATTAGTGCCTACTTCCCGGAGTAGTTGTGAGCACCAAATGGAATATTTGTAAAATGCTTTGCAAACCTTAAGGTATTATATGCTTTCAGTCAATAAACATTTATTAACAGCCTACTATGGGCCAGGCATTGTGTTAAGCACTAAGCACACAAAAAAAGCAGAAAAGACAGTTCATCCCTCAAGGAGCTTACAGTCTAATGGGGGAGGCAACATGCAAACAGACATAAAAAACAGAAGTTATATTCAAGATAAATAGGAAATAAGAGAAGGAAGGCACTAGAATTGAGAGGTTGGAAAAGGCTTCCAGTAAAAGATGAGATTTTAGATGAAATTTAAAGGAAGCCAGGGAGGTCAATAGTCAGAGTGGAGGAGAGAGAGTGTTCTGGGCCAGAGAAGATAAGATTCCTGGAGCAGAGAGATGGAGGGTCTTGTTCGTGGAACACTGAGGAAGCCAGTGTCACTGGACCAAACAGGAGTAAAGTGTAAGAAGACTAGAAAGAGAGGAGAGGAGGCTAGGAAGGGCTTTGAGTACCCAACAGACAATTTTGTGTTGGTGTCACTGGGAGTCACTGGAATTTTTTGAGTGGGAAGATAACATGGTCTGACCAGCGCTTTAGAGAAACCACTTTAGTTACTGAAAGGAGAATGGACTGGAGTGGGAGAGCTTTGAGGCAGGCAGACCCCCCAGCAGGCTATACAATAGTCCAAGTGGGAGGTGACAAGAGCCTGGACCAGGATGGGAGTGTCAGAAGAGAGAAGGGGGCATATTCAAAACGGGTTGTAGAGGCGAAATCCACAGGCCTTGGCAACAGCTTGGATGTGGTAGATGAGAGAGAGGGAGGAATCTAGGATGACTTCGAGGTGGGGAGCCAGAAGAATTAGGAGTATGGTATTGCCCTTTACAGTCATAGGGAAGATAGGATGTGGGGAGGGTTTCCAGGAAAAGATAGTAAGTTCTATTTGAGACATGGTGAGTTTAAGAGGCCTACTGGGCATCCAGTTCAAGATGTCAGAAAGACAGTTGGAGATGTGCAATTGGAGGCCAGCAGAGAGTCTGGGGCAAGATAGGTCAATTTGGTAATCATCAGCATAGAGATGGTGGTAACTAAATCCATGGGAGCTAATGAGATCACCGAGTGAAGTAGTATGGAGGGAGAAGAGAAGAGAGCCCAGAACAGAGCCCTGAGGGACAGTTATGTTCAGAGGGCATGATCTGGAGGAGGGTCCAGCAAAGGAAGCAGAACAGGAGTAGTCAGATAAGTATGAGGAGCACCGGGGGGGGGTCCCGAAAACTTAGAGTGAAGACAGTATCAAGGAGAAGAGCGTGATCAACAGTGCTAGGTATTAGAATTATTTGATCTCACTGAACCTGAGGCCCATCATCAGTAAAAGTGAGCTTCTAATCTCAGGGGGTTGTTGTGAAAAAGGATTTTATAAACTTGAAAGAACTACATGAATGTGCATTGCTATGATGATTAATAAAGCAGCATGTCGATTATCTAGTATGGTTAGGAAATGAAGTGTACCCTATGTGTAAATACAATCTATTTAAATGCCTGAATGACTTTAAGCCTTTTAAAGGGCCATCCTTCTGAAACGCTTGCCTTATTAAGCAGAGCATGCTGAACATAATTGATTTGGGTGACTCAGGGTCCTCTTCACGGACATCGATTAATTCACTGTAATTTCCTGATAGTAATATAGTGCTTTACAAGTACAAAGTGCTTTGCATGTGTTACTTTATCTGCCTCTCACACTAAGAGATAGCTACTACGAGTGGTTTTATTTCCATTTTATGAATGAAGAAACTGAGACTCATAGAGATTAAGTGATCTACCTGAAGCTGTACAACTAATAATTGGGAGAACTAGAATTAGAACTCTCCTTTTCTTGTTTCTAGATTGAGTTCTTTCTGTGATGCTTTGCTGTAACTTTGTGGAATTTCCTCTTTTCCCAAACTGCTGCTCTTTCTGTTGTCCTTTGGACACACATCTAATAAGCTCTCCCTCTCTGGCAGCTGATAGATTGCTGGATTGAACAGTGTGTCCTTCTTGAGATCCCAATAAGTGGTGACTTCAGCCTAATAAACATCCTGGGGGATCCTTATGAGATACGGCAGTGGAATACGGATGGCTTACCACGTGATCTGGTATCGACTGAAAACGGTATTCTGGTGACTCGAGGACGACGATGGCCTTTGATGATTGACCCCCAAGATCAGGTGAGCAGCCACTGACTCATTGAAATCAGTGGGGGTTCTCTGAGATGTTGGTAAAGTATGTTTTAAAATCTATTACTTGTTTAAAGAATACAGCCTGTCCATATGGGAAAAACTAAATCAATAAAGAATGTTTATTGTCCATGACAAAATAAGAACTAGCATTTAGGTAGCTCTTAAAGTTTGCAAAATGCTTTACATATGATAATGCCCCCGGGAGGTAGATGCTATTATTGTCTCTATTTTACAGATGAGGAAACTGAGGCACAGAAAGGCTAAGTGACTTGCCCAGGGTCATATGACTAGGGAAATATCTGAGGCAGGATTTGAACTCAGGTCTTTCTGACTCAAGTTCTGCACTCTATCCGCTGTGCCACCTAGCCACCTCAATATGCAGTTGAATAGAAGATCCAGAGGTCTCTCAGCACCTCTATATTGAAGAGAGCCTGTATCTGGATATATGAGCTAGACCCAGAAGTGGAGAATAGTACATAAAGAGACTTAAGTCCCCCTAGAAAATTGTGTTGTGCTTTTAATGAACCTCAAGCTTCTCTTG